GCCTTGGCCTCCCAAAGTGCTGGGATTACAGGCCAGCAATAGAACATTGCTTACAAAATCAAATAAGGAGACAATATTATGTCATTAAAAGAACACATGTTTCAGAGCCCAGAATCTTGGATCTGAGTCCTGGCTCTTCCTCTACCAGCTGTGTGACCCTGAGGAAGTCACTTCAGCTCTCTGCGCCTGTTCTGTTGTCTGTAAACGAGATAATGCTGCCTACGTGGTCCCACTGTTGAGCACAAACAAGACTGTGGAGGAGAAAGTGCTCGGGGGCCCTGAAGGGTAGCTGCTGTCCTCAGGGGGCACCTGGAGCAGCAGGGGTGACAAGGAGGAGCACAGGGCACCAGGTCCTGCTTGGAAACGGCCTCACTGTCCCCCAAGGCAGCCTGCCCACCCTATGAGCCGAGGAGGGAGAAAGCAGTTGAGCAAAGAGGAACAGGCAGAAAAGGAGAAGGAGCCAGTGAGTGAAGCGATAATTGATAGTAACGAGCACGCTCGGCACAGCAGGGCTTGGACCGAGCCTTTGATCCAGGCCGCAAATGACCCCTTTCCGCCCCCCTGCAGGCCCACATGCAGGCCCGATTTGTGATCCTAAGGGTCTTGCTGGAGGCTGGCGAGGGACTGGTGACCGTCACTCCCACCACAGGCTCCGATGGGCGACCCGATGCCCGAGTCCGCCTTGACCGCAGCAAGATCCGGTCTGTGGGCAGGCCCGCCCTGGAGCGGTTTCTGCGGAGACTCCAGGTAAGCAGAGGCGTCTCACCTTGGAGGGCACCTGCCGGCCTCTGCCCTGTTCCCTACCCTGTGAACACTTCCTCATAGGCTCCTGGTCAGTTCATTCATTAAGTCTTTACACCCAGCATCACCATGTTCCGGGCACTGAGACTAGGCTGTGAGCAGTTCCTTAGGCTGTCGTGAGGGAAGGTGGACAGTAAACATGTAAGCAGTCTGTGCACGAGATAACTTCAGATCGTGAGAAGAGCTGCAAAGACAACAAAACTGTGTGATGTGATGATGAGTGTGATTAGAGGGGAAAGGAAGGTCCAGCTTAGTCTGGGTAATCAGGGAAGTCTTCTTGGAGGAGGTGTCAGTGGAGCTGGAATTTGAGTGCCAAGGAAGAACCAGCTGTGAAAAGATCTGAGCGCAGAAGCAGCAGCAAATGCAAGGGCCAGTCTTAGGATCAGAGTGAGCTTGGTGGGTTGAGGGACAGAAGGAGGCCTGGAGCGTGGTGAGTGAAGGAGGGAAAGGATGGTGGGTAGCACAGCCCTGGCTTCCCTCTCATGCAGGGATGCTGCGAGCCAGAAGACTTTCAGGGTTCTGGTGCCAGTGCTGACCGCCTGGGTAATTGAAGCGATACATTTCATCTCTCTGGGCCCCACTTTTCTCACCTGTCAGTGGGTTACACCTGATTAAATGAAACATCGTACATGCAGAACTGAGCAAACTGAATGTCGTGTTATCCAAGCCGGAGCAACACGAGACCCAGAAGTTTATGGTCCACGGACCAGCAACACTGGCACCCACAGGAGCAGGTTAGAAATGCAGATTCTCAGGCCTGTTCCAGCCTTCCGGATCAGCATCTCGGAGGGCCGGGCCCCGGGAACCTGCAAGTCTGCTAGCCCTCCAGGCGATCCTGACTCCGGCAAAGGTGAGAACCGCTGATGAGCCACTCTCTAGAGTACGGACCCTCCCGTAGCACAGGGTCCTGCGGCCTTTTCTACCTGTAAAAGGCCCAGCCTTTAATTCACAAGTTAAATCACAAATCAAGAATCATAAATCACCATATCTCTTTGCGATTTTATTCCCACTTGTCTCCTTAAGGATTTATGGCATTTTTCCATAAAAGATATTTGTCCATTAAAGTAAAGTAACTTAGAAATTAAAAATCATTAGATGCAAAGCAATGTGGTATCTTGGATTGGATCCTGGAATATAAAAAGGCATTAGTAGGAAAACTAGTGAAATCCAAATAAAGTGTTAGTTCAGCTAATGGTAATATACCAACTGTGTCAGAATTAACAACAGGTGACGCTGGGCAGGGGGCGGGTGGGAACTCTCTCTACCATCTTCGCAACTTTTCTACAAATCTAAAATTATTCCAAAATGAAGTTTATTAATAATAATAACAAATCATTAGATGGAGGAATCAAACCTACCAACTCCTAGGCCAACACGGAACTGTAGCTGAGCACTAAATTAGCACAGAGCTTTCTGGCAGCCCTTTCCGGAGACTGAGCCAGGCGGGTCTCTCTACGGGAGGAATCGTTCTGCATAATGGGGTCTCTCAGCAGTAGTTTTACAGAAAAGGTGGAATATGAAATCATTCTTGGTGTGGCTGTTTCTTGTATCAGCCCCCAGGGAAGCCCAGGGCAAAATAGCGAGACACTGAGCATGGAGGGCTTCAGCCAGGGCTCACAACACAGCCATATTTCTGGCCCACCTCGTGTTAGTAACATTGGCAAAGGTTAGGTGTCGGTATCTCTGGCTTCCGGGAAGGTCTGGAGACAGCAGGCTTAATTCCTGCGTGGACGATGCATTTGGACATGGCGCGGACTCTCCGGTTTGCCTGGGTCCTCCACTCCCTGGTACTTGAACCTGCCTTGATCACTCGTTTGTGATACCTCCTGGCTCCCACTGGCGTCTGTTGCCAACTGTCCAGTTTGACCTCCTGGGGTCTGATGTGTCAGTGTGACGAATGTGTCCTTAGCACCTTCTGGGTATTGGGTACTGCGGAGAAGGGGAAGGTGAGACCTTCGCTTTAGCCTTTCCCTGGGAGATCCCAGTTGGTGTTATTGACTCCAGGGCGAGGGAAAGTCGCTCTACACCTGGGTCTAAGAGGCTTTCCCCGAGGGAGCCCGAGGTTTGAGTCTTGCTTTGCCACTTGAGGATTGGCAGAATGAATAAGGATCAGACCCACAAAAAGTCAGCCATTTGGAAAAGAACTAAATAGAACTCTGAAATAAACTAGATAAGCACTGAAATTTTAAAAGGCAGGTTACAGGTTGTAGGTCCAGCTGAAGGTAAAAGAGATTATAAAGCATGTAGCACAGAGAGACAAAGACGGAAAATTTAAAAGAAGTTAAGAGACGGAGGAGAGTATGAGAAGGACTAATGTGCCTCTGACCAAAGTTCCAAAAGGAAAGCAGAGAGAAAAGGTAGGAGAGGGAATGTAAGATGAGATAGTGGCTGAGAATTTTCTAGAATTGATTAAAGTCAACGATTCATAAATCCAGGAGGCTCAAGAAATCCCAAGACGGACAAAGGAAAGCCCTATCTAGAAACATCACAGAATGATGCAAAACACCAAAGATGTGGAGAAAATCCTAAACGCAGCCAAAGAATAAAGACAAGTGACCTGAACAGAATGGTATTAACTGAGCGCGGACTCAGCTGCTGCAGGCAACGGGACGATGGCGGCACCGCGCTGAGAGTAGATGACTTGTCGATACCCAGTAAAGTCATCCTTTAAGAATAAGAGTGAGGCTGGGCAGGGGGCTCACCTGCAATCCCAGCACTTTGGGAGACCGAGGTGGGAGGACCGATTGACCAGCCTGGGCAACGTAGCTAGACCTCTTCTCTATAAACAATAAAAACATTAGCCGGGTGTGGTGGCGTGCGCCTCTATTCCCAGCTACTCGGGAGGCTGAGGCAGGAGGATTGCTTGAGCCCAGGAGTTGGAGGTTTTACTGAGCTGTGATTGTGCCACTGCACTCCAGCCTGGGCGACCGAGTGAGACCCTGTCTCTAAAAGTATTTTCAAAATAAATGTAAGAAGAGCGTAATGGTAATACCTACCTTGTCTGCACATCAAATGAGACA